CCCAACTTTGGTTCCACTTCTTAAATTTTATTTCCATGAAGAAGTTAGGAAGGCAGCTGTTTCAGGTACCATTAATTGTTAATACTCAATGTTTTTATTTTCTTTCCTCTACAAATTTTGTTGGAGTTTGCTCCGTTTCTTAATAAAGAGATATCTACTTTTTGTTTCTAGCAATGCCGGAGCTACTGCGTTCTGCAAAGTTGGCAATAGAGAAAGGCCAAGCTCAAGGTCGTAATGAAACATATATAAAGCAATTGTCTGACTACATTGTTCCAGCTCTGGTGGAAGCATTACATAAGGTTGTTCAGTGTTTTTCATTTAAGCCTCCTTGATCATGGTGTAATGATTTATATGTTCTCTGAAGTATGAGATTGCAATTTGTGTGCAGGAACCTGATACTGAAATCTGTGCGAATATATTGGATGCATTAAATGAATGCTTACAGGTTCGTCGTTTATTCTTTTAAGAAATTTTGTGAATTTCCGTTGTGCCCCTGTTTGTTTTACTTTTTGCACTTATTCCGCACCAACTGACCAATTCAGTAGTGCTGGAATTGCTATATTTTTCGTTGTAGGGAAGTTGTCAATACACTCATGATTAGAAATGTTAAATTTTTAATGGAGTACTGGATGCTAATCATGTTCCATGCTATGCCACTTCTGTTTTTTTTTCTTTTCATTGCAGAAGAAAATCATTGGTTTGATTTGAAAGAACTTTTATAATTAAATCTCTGCCTTTTAGATTTTGGGCTTGAACTTGGAAATGCTGGCAGTCACTGCAGTATAGTGAAAATCATTGGTTTGATTTGAAAAAACTTTTATAATTAAATCTCTGCCTTTTAGATTTTGGGTTTGAACTTGGAAATGCTGGCAGTCACTGCAGTATAGTGCTAATTAATTTGTTTTGTAGTAGCCAATCCTTCATTTTTGTTTGCACGGAAGCAGTGAATGAGCGAACTGTTTTGGGAGAAATGTTTTGTTGAGTTAATCAGAATTAGCTTTGTTCAAAAGACAAATTTGTTTTCGTGTTTTCATTTTTATATTGTGCATCATTTTTTGAGTATGGCCCCATTCATGCGCCTTGTATCTTTGCTTTCAGACATCTGGACCACTTTTAGATGAAGGCCAGGTGAGATCCATCGTGGAGGAGATAAAGCAGGTGATCACTGCCAGTTCTAGTAGAAAAAGAGAGAGAGCAGAAAGGACCAAAGCAGAAGACTTTGATGCTGAGGAACAGGAGCTAATTAAAGAGGAAAATGAACAAGAGGAAGAAGTTTTTGATCAAGTGAGTTTTTTTAACACAATCTCTAGGTAGCTCTTCAACAATATTACTGATTTTTTAATTTTTGGGCCAGCATATGCAGTGTGGGACTTTTTGTCCTGGTTCTCTTCAACACATTTTTTAATTGTTTCAGGTGGGAGAAATCATTGGAACTTTGATTAAAACGTTTAAAGCCTCTTTCTTGCCTTTCTTTGATGAGCTATCATCGTATTTAACACCTATGTGGGTAAGTTTCGTCTCACTGGTGCAGCCTTTTTGTTCTGTTCCAACTTTAGGATTTTAGTTGTTTATGTTTACTCGAACGCTCCTTAGACAGCTTCACTTCGAGGAAGTAGAATGTTAATTTTTTTTGTCAGCCATTATGTTTGAGCTAAGTTGTTTGTCATCTCAACTATGTTATTCATTTCGGGTTCTAAACACAGGCCAAGGATAAAACACCTGAAGAGAGAAGGATTGCAATATGCATCTTTGATGAAGTAGCAGAGCAGTGTCGTGAAGCAGCTGTAAAGTAAGTTTTTTTAATAGAAACGTTCAGGTTTTACTTTTAAGTAGTTCTTGTTATTCTGTACTCATATTTGGTTATGATTTGGTTGGATCAGATATTATGACACATTTCTTCCTTTTCTGTTGGAGGCTTGCAATGACGAAAACCCTGATGTTCGACAGGTCTGATCTCAACAAACTGTTTCAATATGTATCAGGTTGCTCATCCACATTAGTGTTAAGTGGTTGTTTTTGTTTTATTTTTATTTTTTTAGGCAGCTGTATATGGACTTGGTATTTGTTCAGAGTTTGGTGGAGCAATAATTAAACCTCTTGTTGGCGGTAATTCTGCTTGCATATCTTAAATAGATGAAACAATTATGTATGTTTGTGAGTAATATTTGCTTGTGGCTTTATATAGAGGCTCTATCAAGGCTGAACGCTGTGATTCAGCATCCTAATGCCCAACAATCTGAAAATGTAATGGCATATGATAATGCTGTTTCTGCTTTAGGAAAAATTAGCCAATTCCACCGTGACAGTATTGATGCAGCTCAGGTACTAACTTTTATTTTCTCTGTTGTCATATGGTTTGATCAGAAATTCTGTCATTGGTGGTGTTATGGAATATACGCACAAAAGTAAAGAGTCTTGATTATGAGTATACGACTACTGTGCTATGCAGTGCTCTCTAATACCTTTTTTGTGTGCACGTTCCTCAATTTAGTGCAACGCTATAGTTTAATACTAACCTATCTTGCCAACTATCACTTTTAAGATTAATAATATCTTTCTTTGTTTGGTTCCATTATTATTATTATTATTATTTTGGAGTGGTATGGATTGTCAACCTTCTGGCATTTTGCAGGTCATTCCTGCATGGTTGAACTGTTTACCGATTAAAGGAGACTTGGTTGAAGCCAAAGTTGTTCATGACCAACTTTGTTCTATGGTAGAGAGGTAGAGCTTCAATTTTCTTTTACTTGTGCCTTGTTCTGTTACTTGTTGCCTTTTTATATATTAAACTTTCGGAATATCATTACAAACAAATTCATAGAGGTGACCCTTGTAATCCATCTACAGGTCTGATCGGGAACTTTTGGGTCCCAACAATCAGTATCTTCCCAAAATTGTTGCAGTGTTTGCAGAGGTTTGTAATCTAGAAACTAAATTAGCACTCTTAAGCTATATTTCTGTGTCATATATCATGATCAAAATCGACGTTTTTTCATTAATACATTTCTCAATATTCTATTTCATCAGTTTGAACATATGTATCTTATGTACTGATTATTATTGAGGTGAACAATTATAGGCACATCATTTATTGTATGGTACAGATATGTGCACACCCTGGTCAATTGAGCCATTTTTTCGTTGTGGCAAGATTTAGGGACTAATTAACGAACTAGTATAACTGTAACCTAAATCTAGGCTTTCTTTTTCTCTTCTAATTGATATCTTAAACAATACAGGCAATCAGATGACTCCACTAAATGCATGTTTTTTGTAATATGTTTTCAAGCTTTCCAGAATATTTACTTTAAGGGTTATGATTATTCGTGTAGGTTCTATGTGCTGGTAAGGATCTGGCAACTGAACAGACTGCAAACCGAATGATTAAATTGCTAAGGCAGCTTCAGCAGACTTTGCCACCAGCTACATTGGCTTCAACGTGGTCGTCCTTGCAACCCCAGCAACAGCTTGCTCTGCAATCCATCCTCTCCTCATAAATACTCTGGCTTGCATTGTGCACATTGCTGCTTTCAGATGCACTGTTCCCTGTCTTGCTATGTTTCCCATCAGTCATTTATGCGAAAAGTTTTACAGTGGCCCGTCAGCATCGATTGAGCGTGGAAGTCATTGGTGCGGTTTGGTCAAACCATTTTTTGTAGGGTGTATATGAAAGTGTTAATTTATAGTGGCGATTGAGTCTAAAAGAAAAGAAGACTTGTTCCTGCTCGTGAGGGTTTCTTTCATTTTCTTTTTGTCGGTGCCCGAGGATATGAGGGCTGTTGGTGAGAAAATTCTCGTGGGAGTTTTGGTCTCATCCTGTTTTGTATTTTTTCCCATACATGCGTTGTAAGAATCTGTTGATGAAATTATCGATGGCGATTCTTTCGTTATGTTTTCAATTTTGATCCCCAAAAGGCAATAAAATTGGCTTTTATGGTATTTCAATGGTATGCTATTGTGTTGGATGTGAACTAGCTATCACACTTTAGAGTAGTTTTGAGTCATCCTTGAGGAGTGCAAGAGTTTTTGCGCACCCAAAGATGATATTTCTGGTTCCATTTCTTTGAGAAACAATGCCAAGAACAAAGCTTTGTTCCTCAAAGATATCTAGAAGTTCCTGGAATCCCACAACCAAAGGCAGCTAGTCTCAGAATTGAGCCCGTCTCAAGGACCCTAGAGCCTGAGACGGGAACCTGGCTAGGGGACCCTGTCCTCAGGAACGGACCTAGAGCCTGATGCTCAATGCTCGAAACCAATGCTCAAGAAATAGTCGCTCGAGGCTCAGACAATCCATTGCAATCCAATCCTATCCAACGCTAGTCATGAGTTAAGACTTTCGAATCTTATTATTTATCTGTTTAGTTATTCGTTTTATCTTTTTGTTATGAATGTATACGCAATTATGCATTATGCAATGCAAGTCAAATATTTGGTATTTTTTATGTAATACTGAAAATGGATTCCACCAAACACAAGAGAGCGTGCAGCATCAGATTCCTTCCTTCGCCATCAAACCTCAAATTCTTTGAATACAAATACAATGCCACCTATCGTTTCCATTTTTTTATTTTTCTATTTTTTATGAATACATTTGGAGGGGACCATATTTGTGCTCCATGTGTCATGCCTTCGTGCTCCCACGACTTTCGATTCTCTCTCCGTTGACCAACTGCTTTGGACCTTTGGTGGTGGTGAGAAGTGACCACGACAACTACCCAAACCCTTACGGTTACCGTTGGCGGTGGGTCACAGAGTGTTGTGTGGAAGAGAGTCAGATGGAGTTGGCTGAACTGAAGAAATTGAAATTTTACAATAAAATCAATTGACAACATAAGTCATATTTCAATTACTTATAAGCATATGCAAAGTTCTTTCTTTACTGTCGATACACGCATTCATGTGTGACGACTTTTCAAGTCAAGCAAGCGAAAAACACAAATCCGATGAATAGTCGATAATGTTAATAGTGTGTAGATAATTGATCGACATCTTTTGCTATTAAAATATTATCCATCAATGCTACTAACAATGTAATTGGTTTAGAGTGAACATTGAGAGATCAGTCATCCTCAATAACGAACAAATACAAATTGACGTGCTGAGTCTGCTGACAAGGGAAAGAAAACGAGGTTCCCACTACTACCAAACAGAACCTTTGCCCTGTTCCACCTTTTTATACAAGTCACACCCATTTTTGCTCTTTCAGTCTTCACAACTTCGCTTCAAACATTCCTATAGAACATGAAGCCCCAAGGAACCAACAGGGGTGGGAGCTTTTAGAATCCAAAAGCACTTTTAGTTTTTTTCTCTTCCTTCTATCAAACGCTGTTAAAAGCTCTTTGATTATCTGAAATCACTTTTAGCTCTTCCAGAAGCATTCTCAAACAAGCTAAAGTTCTCACTTTCAGCCTCTTCCATGGAACATCAAGCCCCCAAGCAGCAAAAGGGAGTCTTAGCCAACAAACAAAGAAAGTTCAAAGAGAGGACCAAATCCAAGTGCAAGTTTGTTGGGGTGAGACAAAGGTCATCCGGGAAGTGGGTTGCAGAGATCAAGGACACAACAAAGAAGATAAGAATGTGGCTTGGAACCTTTGAGACTGCCGAGGAAGCTGCTCGAGCTTACGACGAGGCTGCTTACCTTCTTCGGGGTTCGAATACCAGAACCAACTTCGCCACTCATGTCCCTTCTAACTCTCCACTTTCTTTGAAGATCAGAAACCTCCTCAACAAGAAAAAGAGCTTGAAGCAATGCCCTGTAAGTTCCACCCCCAACAGCTTAAATTCCACCCCTACAGCTACTAGTACTAGAACTAGTAACAAATATACCTCTTTCAGTGACGGTTCAGCTTTCTCCATTGCTACTTTTAGTGAGACTTTTCTGCCTAATTGCAAAAGCCAGAAAAATCTTCAGGTGTTTGATGATGCATATAGACCAGACATTAGCAACTGCATTGATGATCTTCAACCAGGGTTGTTTCATAACCATTTTGGTCTCCAGTGGCCACTCTTAACTGGGTTTGATCAGCTTCCAATAACCCACGAAGGGATGGATTTAGCGAAAGGCAATGCTCTGACGGTGCAACCTAGTGTTGCAGTAGAGCCAGAGGTGACGGAGTTTGAGTGCTTGGAGGTAGAAAGGCAGATTTCGGCTTCATTTTATACAATGAATGGAGTGAATGAGTACTTTGACAATGAGTACAACGCCGGTGATGCTCTCTGGGATCTTCCTAGTCAGTCTCAGCTGTTCTGCCTCGGCTGATGGCCTTCACCTTTCAGAGTATTGTAGTTTTTATTCTTTTGAAATGAGTGAATTGAGGGGTTAGTCTTGAGAGTTTATGTTTAGTGTAATTCTTTTGAAAGCATGAGAAGTGTAGGTAGCTGTATGATATCAATAGCTTGTACTTCCTATCTGCTATTGCAGATGAGTTTCAGCTTTTCTCTGAGTTTGATTAACAATTGCATTGATTTTTGGTAGCATGAAATAAAGATGCAAAGGGAAGAACAACCTGAAAAGTTGCGTGGAATGAGTATTGTAATGATTCTCATTCCCGACTTCCCTGCGTTTACTAAAACATGGGTATTGAAATGATTCTGATTCCTTACTTCTCCTGTGTTTACTAACTCATATGGAATAAAAAAAGTTGTGGGTTATACATTAAAATCTGTAATCTGATACCTGAATAATTAGGAATCATATCAACTACGGGTTGCTAGTTAATCCCATTCTCTTTCCTACTTTCCCTTTCTTGATTCACGACCTTCTCCATTCCAATTAAGTAAACATGCCGTAATATATCGATATTGGAGAATCACTTATCTGATGTAGAACAATTATGTTCGATCCACAATTTCTAACACGATACTACAAGGCATTCAATTAATATGAAGAAGCGGAAATGAGAATAGTTGGTGCAGTTCACAGCTATATAACGACCACAGGACCAAAATACCAGAACTAATCAACCAGGTTTATCTGTTGTTAAAACGTCATATAGCTGCAAACTGATGAAAGCGAAAATATATCTACGAACCACATTTTAAAACACGTACAAGCTCCCGGCCTCTCTATGTTAAAAGAGATCCCAAGTTCGAATCTCCTTTCCCAAAACTATCCTACAGAAAAAGTTCACATTTCCAGTTCACCTTAACATGTAACTGTATTTGAAGACAGTGGATTGTGTACCAATGAGTGATATTAAGTTATAGCATGAAACCGTCTTGAAGGAAAAATGGGGAAACAACATGCCAACCAGATTCCGTCATATAATGAGTATCGAATACTATTCGAAACATCTGGGAAACATACAACGTAATAATATCTTTGAAAGAGAACATAAACATTCAGGTTTTTCAGAAATGTCACTTCATTGTTACCACAAAAACGAGAGAGAGAGAGAGAGAGAGAGAGAGAGAGAGAGAAACATAATCAGAACTTAGTGACGATTGTCACAATTTCACAGCATGGAGATGGAGTGTACGACACAACAAAAGGAACAGAGATGGCTGAAGATGAACGATAAAACACTGCTCCTCTTGCATTACAACACTAGTAATCTTCACTTCCCTCTTCATCATCCACACCTTCGGCACCAACTTCCTCGTAATCTTTCTCTAGAGCAGCCAGATCTTCACGAGCTTCTGAAAACTCTCCTTCTTCCATTCCCTCACCCACATACCAGTGAACAAATGCCCTCTTGGAATACATGAGATCAAATTTATGGTCAATGCGTGAGAACACCTCAGCCACAGCAGTGTTGTTGCTGATCATGCACACTGCTCGCTGAACCTTGGCAAGATCACCCCCTGGTACAACTGTTGGAGGCTGATAGTTTATGCCACATTTGAAACCTGTTGGGCACCTGCAGAATTGAACCACCGAACTCGTCAGATAAAACATATATGAGGACCATAATTCAGACGGATGATGCACAAATGGTTAAACTGTTTATCTGAAAGAAAACTGGCTATTAAAGATGAAAAGAACCATGGCATCAAGATAATTTCAGCATCATAAATAAATCTCCGTTCCTACTGTGTGTACTGATGTTCGAGAGTCGAGACTATGGCATTTGAACAAGGTTTCTTCAACAACATTAGATATGATTTAAAAAATATGCAAGTATTTTTCGTCATTTTCTTTTCCTCTTTAGGCATTGTTCTTACCAGTCAACAAACTGTACAGTCCTTTTTGTTTTGATAGTTGCAACGGCAGCATTGACATCCTTGGGAACAACATCACCCCTGTACATTAGACAGCAAGCCATGTATTTTCCATGCCGGGGATCACACTTGGCCATCATGCTTGAGGGCTCAAAAACTGCATTTGTGATCTCAGGAATAGAGATCTGCTCATGGTATGCCTTTGCAGCTGAGATAACAGGAGCATATGAGGAAAGCATGAAATGAATGCGGGGATATGGTACAAGGTTAGTCTGGAACTCTGTAACATCAACGTTAATGGCTCCATCAAATCTCAATGATGTTGTCAAGGAGGATATGACTTGCGATATCAGTCTATTCAAATTGGTGTACGTTGGTCTCTCGATGTCTAGAGATCTTCTGCAAATATCATAGATAGCTTCATTGTCCAAGAGCACAGATACATCGGTGTGTTCAAGGAGAGCATGAGTAGAGAGAACGCTATTATAAGGCTCGACAACTGCTGTTGAAACCTGCAATACACAATAATTAAGGCACAGATGAGCTCCATATCAACGGCCCCTATATTATTTTTTCTCTTTTCTATTTTTCTAAAAAAGAAGAGGTCGCACTTGGTGCGATGGCAAGTGCCTTCGCCCATGAGCGGTAGGTCTCGGGTTCGAGACTTGGGAGCAGCCTCTCCATAAATGGGGGTAAGGCTAGCCGACATTCACCTCTCCCAGACCCTGCGTAAAGCGGGAGCCTTGTGCACTGAGTACGACCTTTTTATTTTTCTAAAAAAGAAGATGCCTTATAATTATGAAATCATAAGATAACATATAACAGAAACATTCTTCTGCATAAGAAACTGCATAGACTTTTGAAGGAGAGTCGAATATCATAATATTTGTGGATGTAAGTACCTGCGGAGAAGGATAGATGGTGAATCCAAGCTTTGACTTCTTCCCATAATCCACGGACAAGCGTTCTAACAGCAAAGACCCCAAACCAGAACCGGTACCACCACCCACAGCATTAAACACCAAAAATCCTTGTAAACCAGTGCAATTATCGGCCAATTTCCTAACTCGATCAAGGCAGAGATCTACAATTTCCTTTCCAACTGCAGAGCACAACCAGAGGTTAAATCAACGAGATTAACATAATAAAAGCATTCATCAATGAAAGATAGAAGTAGCATCCATTACCTGTATAGTGTCCTCTTGCAAAATTATTAGCAGCATCTTCCTTTCCAGAAATGAGCTGCTCGGGGTGAAAGAGTTGGCGGTAAGACCCAGTCCTTACTTCATCAATAACAGTTGGTTCCAAATCGACAAATATGGCCCTAGGGACATGCTTGCCTGATCCAGTCTCGCTGAAGAAGGTATTGAAAGCATCACGGCCGCTACCCACTGTTGTATCACTTTGAAGACAGAAAACCATAACTGTCCATTAGGCAATCAAATCATCTACAAATTCAGACTTAAATTACAAACATAAAACACATTAAAGCTTAACTTCACATTCCATGAACTCAAAAGGAGAAAAACAATAAAGCTTTATTAGGGTTTAAGTAGATCAACTTTCTTATTACTAGAGTACCGCTAGGTATAACGACTTTCTAGACCAATTTGCAATCCATGGGATGTGTCACCAATAGAAAATAAACACGTTAATCAACACTTAAGTAATAATTCAATCATCAACAACCAGGTCATGGTTTACAAAATTTGGTCTACATAGTTGGTCTACCTAGCATTACCCTTATTATCAGAAGATCAACAAAGTTTTATTGTTATTCCTTGATACGATCTCTAAGCACACCCGACTCAAGACGTGTCGGTTACAACAACCTTGCAAAGAAAGCAAATGCATACGATCAATCGGATTAAATTGAATTGAATTCTATTTCTTTTATGTTAACTTTTAGCTTCCCCATCGAATACATTCAGAAAATCCATGCTTGATTCTTCAGCTGCATCAAAAGTACATGAAAGACCGCTCAAAAGAACCTAAAACTCCAAAAAAATATCAATGTAATCAACAGATACACCCCCAGATAAACAGATAACAACAATCATACATCTGAAATTCATACAAAAGAAGATCGCAAACACCTATTTGTTAAAGTTACCTATTTTAATTTTCCAAATGATAAAGTCAGAATAAAAAAACACATTCATCGACTAACATTTGAGAAACCCACCAAAAATAAACAAACAAATCCACAGAAAAGTGCATATGTAAATAGAAATATCAGCAGAGATGATAAGAAACAAGGAAAAAAATACCAACCTGGGCATCTGCCCATCAGGTTGAATTCCATGCTCGAGGCAGTAGAGCTCCCAGCATGAATTGCCCACCTGAATTCCAGCCTGCCCAATATGAATGCTTATAATTTCTCTCATTTCTCTCTCTTTTCTTCGATAAAAATTGAAACTTTATGAACTGCAGAAGTCTCTCGCTATCTATGTTATTTCTCTCTGCGTGCTATTGATATGGTATCCCCTGTTTTGCTATTCTTGTGGGTTTTGTGGGTGTGTTTTGCCCTTTTTTCGATAAAATGGGAATGGACAAAAATTTGAGTCCGCTACAAATAAAAAAAGAGACAGCTCTCCTCCCGCTGCCATTTGGCGCCACCCTAACCTTGGGTCCCACCTGTACATTTTTCATCTAGAAAACTAATGAAAATGATTTGAAAACTTTAAATTTTAAAGATAAGGATAAAATAAATGATAAAATCAATAGTATCAGAATTGACTTTTTAGTGTAAAAATGTGGTTTTTCATTAAAATGAACATTACCGATAACTTTTTGTTAAAATTCTATTTTTTCATTGACTATGTTTCAACGTTATTGACTCCTTTGCCCTTCTAGGTCATTGCCCGTTTTGGAATTTGGACTACGAAGGGCCGGATTGAAACGGGGTCGATCGTGTTATCCTCATCATAACCTCGTATCCAACTCGCAATCAAGTCTTCATCGGATAATAGTTTCACCCTTGTATTAGCATGATTCACCCTTATATTAGCATGATTCCGTTGCTAATTCCATTTCCGTAGCTATATCGTCGCAATTTTTCATCAGTGTTTCCTAAACTTATATCAACGCATTCTTCATTTGATAATGGTCTCACACTTGTATTACAATGAATCATCAACTAGTTTTAGACTGATTCAAAATAAATAAGGCTTAAATGTTAAACGGTCCTTGTATTTTATTCCATTAGCTAATTTAATCCTTGTATTTTTCA